GCACCGCCCACTTATGATCACATATAAGTATACCGGTAACCGTTCTACCAATTTGTACCAAACTCGGTATGGTTATTGTACTTGCCACGTGTAAGCAAAACGTTGAAAATTGTTGAAATCGGACTAATATAACGGCCGATTCTCATATAACGGTAAATTTAAGAAATGCTTGAAACTTCAATATTTCGAAATTGAAGGACGCTAATTTACTCAAAATTGTTACAACTCGGCTTACCATCTAGCGGAAGGTTTCGGAAGGGTGAAAAAACATATATTTAATACTTGCGCCGGGTATTTAATGTTCGGCTCCGCCCGAACTTAGCCTTTCTTACTTGTTTATACTAAGTTTTATACAAATTATACGTATCTACGCCTATTTTCTATATGCTCGTATACAAAATAACTAACATAAAAAAACTTTGCTTATTGTACTTAAATATACCTACATACATACATATATATATCCACATATGTACATATACATATGTATATTCCTAAATTAATTATACTTGCATATATATATACATATATAGACTTGATATTCAACAAATATAATATTATGTAGGGATAATGTTTCAAAGATTTACTGTTCAACAAAAACAGAATATTGATATAAAGCAAAAGTGTATTAAGAATTCATTAAATGTATTGAACAAATTTATGCCCAGTTCGGAATAATCGCAAATAAAAAGAGCTCAATTGAAAACTAAAGTGCTAATTTATCTAACAACATCCATTTATATACAGCCACGATCATAGAAAATGCAACACTGTAATAAAACATACAAGAAATGCTACTAAACCAATACATGTTCATGTTTCGTATTGAAAAAACATAAAAAATTTGTTCAAACTGAAAATTGCATAAGTAATCTGGCTGTAATTGGGTGTACAGAGGCGGGTGCTACCACTTACAGGGCAATTCTGGCTAATATAGTAAAAAGTCTTTTGTAAGACTTGAAAGCTCTTCACTGCCTTTCGAAAAACACATTGAAATATCTCCTAACGATGAGGTCTAAGCATTATGCTGTTCGCTTTTCAGCGATCAGTTTTTAAAATTGTTGAATTAAATATATATATATGTGTATTCCTTTTTAAAACAATAATTTTAATTTTTTGAATTTTATATGGAAATTGACGAAAATAAGAAATAATTTTCCATTTAAATTGCTGGTGAAACCGGCAGTAAGAATTTAATTTGGAGAAGGAAAATAATACTGTGGTGAGTTGAAAGACAGTTTCCAGAATTGCCCTGTTAGTAGCTTTTGGAAGGTCCCAGATCTGATAACATCTCGGCAGCCAGTTCGAAAAAGCCCTATCTCTGAAAATTTTTCAAAAACGCCGTACTTCAGAATTTGATTGAAGAACGCCCGATTTCAGAAACTTATCGAAAAACACCATTTCTCAGAATTTGGTTGAAGAAAACACCCTATATCACAATTCGGTTCAAAAACGCCCTATCCCAGCTGCAAATGTATTGAAAATTTGCTGAGATAGGGCGTTCTTCAATTAAATTCTGAGATAGGGCATTTTTAAATCAAATTCTGAAATAAGGCGTCTTGTAAAGGTTTAACGGTCTTGCGCATATTCTTCCACCAGAAATTCATGTTTATATGGAAAAAAGTACAAAGCGCAGTCAACCAAAAAAAATATTAAAAATCAATGCGATTTT